TTTATCACTCTCCTTAGTGTAATAAAACTGAGAAGAAACACACTTCAAAACAAAAGAGGCCATCTAATTTTTATCTATCTAACTAATAAAAGTAAAATTGACAAACTAATTTAAATTACAAACCAAATCTTTAAAAACAAGGATGGACAATGTGTAAGTCAGGAAATTGTTTTGCTGAGTGTTTCACTTGTGTATAGGGTTTAAAAAGTTATCCAAATATAGGAGTTTATAAATTTAACTTAGGAAGATTACCAAAATTAATATTTAGTCAGTAGTTGTGACAGCAAATCAGTACAGTGGGGTACAGTGGAATCTTTTTGAATTTTATTGTTTTATGAAAAATTATGTTCATGCAAATAATACATGCAGACAGAAACGAGGATACTGAGTCCTTAAAAAGTACAGTAGTCTCAATAATCTGTTTTTCTAGCTAGTGTTGACTAGTTTTCAGCATATTTATTTTTTACTTCTTTCTGGAGTTTAAAGGCATATGTCTCATCTGGCGAACTACTATTGACTTCTTAATTTCCATTCATCAAAGTATTCATTTGTACCTGTAATCCATGCTAAGAACACTTTTTTGAGTCTGTGCTAGGTGTTATCTTGTGTACACATTGTGGACACATTTTGAAGTGATGTCCTGTCTAGCTAATATTATCTATACACGTGTTGTATTCACAATGCTAACTGTACAGTTAAAAAAATACTAATGTGAACTAAAATGGTACTTTAAATTGTTACTTTTTATGAAGCATTAATGCCAAATTTGAAAACTGCTCTATTAGACATCCATCAATATAGTTAGAGGGTAAGACCCAGAATCTAAAAGTAGGTTCAAGAGAAGGAGCTGAGCAATATGAGATACTAGATATGAAACCTGCATAAGGGTTTATACAAGAATGCTGTCAGCCCTTAGTTAGAAGTATCATGCCATCACTGGCCAACTGCTGGAAGGAAGCAAGAGTCTTCCTTTCTTAACCACTTTCCACAAAACACCAGTTACTATAAAAGGATAGCTGGATCTATCCTTCTTTCTTCCTGCACCTCAGGCTCCATTTTTAAAAACTTCTTTTTCTCCCCCTGTATTTCATCCATTGTAAATAACCACTACACTTTCCTGCTGTAAGTAGTATTGTCATATGGCTGCAACAACATAAAATGGACATTTTGGATAACATAAGAACTGGGTAGAGGCTTCTAAAAAGCAGTAACTGGACTTGCAATCTTGTTATTATGCATGGCTGCTGCTTGTTAAAGTGCTACTGTGCAAAAGCTGAAACACTGGAACTGCCTGCTTGCAGAACCAGGAAGACTGTGCTGTCTGAATCAGTCAAATTTCCAAATGTAAGTTAGTAACACTGTTTACAAATGAAAAGATGGAAATGTGTCTAGAGTTTTAAATGAAAGCTGTAGAAATCCACAGCATAGGCCTTTATGGTGATCAGAGAAAACTTATTGTTATCGTTAGGAATTATAGGGCATTAAAAAACAAACAGACAAAAAACCCCTGGGATCCTATATACAGAATAAGACTACAAAACAAAACAAAAAAGTATCAGACATCAAATGGTACAGACAGACTGGTCACATATACAGTAATGCAGCAGTAGTTGACTGATAATCTTTTTCAAGTGTGAAAAAAGGAAAGGAAGGGTCATTCGGCTAATAATGTGCTAAATTACTCATTTATGTACTTCAAGTATGAAAAGAAAAGCAGAGTTAGGTAAATTAATAACAAACAAGCCTTATTTTTATAAACACAAAAAATTATCTTGATCTTGCAGACTTAAAAAGCTTTCCTCCTGTAACATTAAACTGAATAAAAAACTACATACTGTACATATTAAAATACAGGTTTCAACCCCAGTCACTTACTACAAATTCACTCTTCTTTGAACTCTAGTAACCCGACTCTAATCTCCAAGGAGTTTTGAAAGTTAAACCAGAAAGGACTGACAGTGTGAGGAGGTGTGTGTGTATGTGTGTGTGTGCATAAACACATGCACACATATACCTTGTTACCTAATTGATAAATTTAAGATATAAATATCTTAAAAGAGAAAGTAGGTTGATACCTAATACCTTTATGTGTGGGATATTGAATTGACATTTGTTTATTATCTCTGGGAGTGTGACAGATCTGTGGAACAACTAATACCAGTTCAAGGCCAGAATTTAGGGGAAAGTCAGTTTGAGGTAGGCAGAAACTTAGCTCATGGTGGTGGGAGTTGGCTCCAGTTCCTGTGCCTCAGTCATGAAGCCATGTCCCTACCCAGGCTGCTTTTCCTATCCACCTAATACATCTAGCCACCTTTTGTTTTCAGAGAACAGGCAGTGTTGGGGCTTGCTTTGTACTGTTGCCACTTCAATTCTCTCTGTGTCAAGCTGCAGTTCTGCAGCCTGGCAGCAGCACTCGAGCTCCAAGTGCAGCAGGAGTAGGGAGCCCTGGAGGAGCCAGTCCCAGCTCTCGGTCACTGGCCAGCCCATTGCTTGTACAAGTTAGCATGCTTAAGTTGACATTGATCCCTCAAGGGACTAGCTACCAGCTAAACAAAACTGGAGCACAGGGCTAGCCAAGCATAGATTCTCTGTGACCCTGTGTCAGGACCTGTCATCCTGTTGTAAAAGCCAGCTATGTTACCTCCTTGCCCTCTGAGACTCCCAGGGAATCCCCAAGTAAATGAAGAGGGGAGTTATTTACATCTCCTTCATGTCTCCAGACCAATCTTTTCTTTTTCTTAAAAACAAAACAAACCAAAACCAACCAAAACCCCAAGAGATAATGGAGTGCTTTAAAAAGGCGTATTTGTTCCCTTATGAAGGCATATTCCAAAAAGCAATAATAATTTAATCTATTAATTATAGATAATGGAAAATGTGGCAACATCTCTGTGGTTAAAGAAGTGAGCATACTGTCATTGACGGTAGCACAACTGTTGTACACAGCTGGGAAAGGCAGACACATTGGAATATTACTGGTGGTTTAGAATATTTAGAAGCCAGGAGTTCTACTAAGTCTGTTTAATATGCTGAGGGTAGAAACGCTCGTTTGCTTTTGCAGAGGAAATAGAGCAAAGATACACCACAGCAGAGAAAGCTAGCAGGACAAAGGAGATACTATTGACTCATTCCAGACTGCCGACTTAGCAGCTCAACTTTGTTTCCTTTTAACTTTTGTAACAGTAGGAGCTCAAAGCTTCTCAGTCTATTTTCTGCACAAATAGAAACACCCAGACTTCAAAAAGTAATATGCTTTCAAGAACCCCAAACCATTAACACATTAAAAACCGTGTGTACTACTAAACAAGGCTTCGTGGTTACTTGAATTTTGCACGAAGTAGATGCTGGTGTTTTGGTAGTAATTTTTACACTGCTGCATTCTGGCAGACAATTCTCGACAAATATCAATTTGTAAAGCACTTTTTGTTGGTTTTAGTGTGATACAGTTTTATTGACTTTGCAGTGGGTAAGTACTGCTTCAATATTTTCACAGGCTGAGTAAACCCCACGACACTTTTTCCCAACTCAGTAGCACATGGCAACAAGTTTCTAACCCTATAACATTACACTTGTAACACCGGGGAAAGCACATGATGTTTGATATTTCGATTGATATTTCGATTTTGTCCTCGGTACTGAAGTCTATATACCTTAAAAGAAAAAATTATTGTCCACTTTGGACAACCGAGTGTCCAGGGCCATCGATATGACAGCTTCTACGCTGACGGTGTCCCTGTCCCAAAGTCCCATCAGGACCGTGCTCCCCGGTGAGAGACCGGCCCCCGCGGCCCCGCTGTAACTTCACAGACACCCCAGGCTTGCAAATACACCTCGCCTCTCTCACGAGTTATCCCTTCTGCAGCGTGCGCCTAAAACGTCACACAACGTCACAAACAAACCCATCGGCATCGGCTGGAGCGTGTGAGTTGGATTTGACTTTGGATGCGCCCGGCCCCGCGCCCCGCAGCCCCCTCGGCCCCCTCGGCCGCGCCCCGCGGAGCCGCTGCCGGCGCCGGTGCCGCGGGGCGGGGGCCGGGCCGGGCGGGGCGCCCCTGCTCTGCCGCGGCGGCGGGGCCGCCCCCCCCGTTGGCGCGGCGGGCTGTCACTCAGGCGACGTCACAATACGCCTGTGTGAGCGCTGTAAACACTTGGGCGGGCATGTGTGTGTGTGTGTGTGTGTGTGTGTGCGAGTGACGCGGGGGCGCGCCTCCCCGCCCCCCAGCTCCCCCCCGCCGCCCCCAGGGTGGCACCGAGCCGGCCGGGGGGGCGTGAGGCGCGCCCCCGGTTGTTTCCCTGCGCGCATGGTAGCGGCACGAAAGGTAGCATCACTGGAGCAGGGGATGATGTAATTCTCCCTCCGGCCAGTGACTGCCTGCGCTTGCACCGATCCGACTTGCAAACCGGAGGGGGGGTGGTTTTTTTACGCGTGATCGTATCAGCATCTCCTGACGGCGCACCCCCCCCCAACGCCGCTTTAAATCCCGCTCCGCTCATCCCTCCCCTCCCCGGGGCACGGAAGAGGGATGGGGCTGGGGGAGGAGGGGAGCCCCGCGCCGTGTGTGCAGGGTAAACACGCCAGCGAGCGCCGCGCCGAGCAGTAAACAAGTCTGAGGTGCCCTCCGCCGCACGGCAACTTGCTGCGGGCGGGGTGTCCCCCCCGCACACACACACGCACGCACGCACACTCACTTCCCCCTAACAAAAGCCCGTTTAATATCAGCGTCAGCTTTTGTTCGGCGGGCGGCAGCCGCCGTCCCCTCTCCCGATCACCTTATTTCACCGGGCGGCCCCCCCGGCCAAATCCACGGGTCCCCCACGCCGCGTTCCCCCTGCGCGCATCCCCGCTCGCTCCGCGGCGCTGTCCCCTCACCGCCTCCGAAGCTCCCCCCGCTTCCCCGGAGCTCCCGGTCCCTGCTGCCCGCTCTCTGGGGCAGCAGGCAGGTAGGCGAGCAGGCGGCCCCCCCCAGTTCCCGAAAAGGCAGTAGCTAAATGGCACTTACTGTCAGGAGAGAGGGCGAGGGAGGAAGCTCTTCTCTCGGTGCAAAAGCAAAATAGCCGCTCGCAGGACGTTGCCAGCATAGGAGGCAGCAAGAGAAAATAAAAAAGATCTTCCAGTAGAGAGGGGGGGAGAGGGAGGGAAGGAGAGAGAGGGAGGAAGGGAGGAGGAGGATTCGCCTTTTAACCAGAGAAAAATAAAATCAAAAAATCACCTCGTGTGTGTCCCCCCCCGGTTGCCTTTTTTGTGCAGTTTCAGCAAAGCTGCGAGGAAGTTGGTCCTTTTGTTCCACTATTTATAGATTGCGTCAACATTGCGAAAAGGAGAAGGCGGAGCGGTGGCACTTACTCCTCGCTGAGGGGTGGTGGGGGAAGATATCGGGGTGGAGGGGCGGGGCGGGGGGGGACGGGACGTGCAAGCCCGGCGAGTACAGGCGACTTCAGCGCTCTCCCCCACCCGCCGCCGCCGCCGCGACCGCGGGAAGAGCCGGGCGGTGCAGCCGCGGCGGCGGCGGCGGGGAGAACCGCGCCGCTTCCCCGCCCGGCTGCCGCCGCACAGCACCGCCCCGCGGGCGGCGAGGCGAGGCGCGCCGAGTCGAGCGGCGGGGCCACGGGGAGGGGGGGACCCGCCGCTCGGTTGGGCGCTGATCGGCTCGCCGGTAGCCTCCGTCTCCCGGTAGAACCTGTTGCGAGCCCCTCGCCTGGGAGCTCCGAGGGCAGGTGCACGCACCACTCGGCTCCGTTTTCTTTACGAGGTAGCGCCGAGGGGTGAATCTGGGGAGCCGAGGGGAAAACATTCTAAAACCTCGGGGTCTGAAACTTAACTATTTTCACCGCCACCGAAGAAGAAGCGGGGGGAGGGGGCACAGAGAAGGTGGGGGGAGAGAAAAGGGGAACCGCCGCTTTCCTGGCCGAAGGCCAATGTTTCTAAACTGAATGTAAACAAAGAAAACTGCAAACACCAGAGGAGGGCCTTCCACCGCCGCCGAGGCTGGGGGGACGTGTTCCAAAAGGGGTGCCGAGCTTTGCCCACGCCTCGTTTCCCTCCGGGTCCTGAACGCCCACGGTCACCTCGGCCACCGCCCTCGGGTGCCGCGGGACGGGGGGAACTTTCTGCCGGCGGGGACGGCGCAGGGTAGCAAGCCTGGAAAAAAACCAAAACAAGTGTGCTCCTTTTTTTGTTGTTTGTTTCCTTTCAGCTTGGTTTTTTTTGGGGTGAGATTTTGTTGTTGTTGTTGTTGCTGTTTTGTTCGTTAATTTGTTGGTTTGGTGGGGGTTTTTTGGCTTTTTTTTTTTTTTTTTTTTTTTTTTTTTTTTTGAGAGCGAGGGCTCGTCCCTCCCGCCCCGGGAGGCAGAGCCGCGGCGCCCCGGGCGGGCGGAGGCCGGGACCGGGCTTGTCCGAGCCTGCCGAGCGCTCCCGGCTCCAGCCTCGGGGCTCCCTAGAACTGCTGATGCTGTTACTTGTAACATGCTCGGGGAAACATCCACGGGGCTCCTGCTTGGTTGAGCAAATCTTTCTATACTTAGAAGGGAAAACCCTTCCTTGTTATCACACAGGCCGGTGAGTTGTCACTGCGGGGTTAAAGAGGAGCTGGAGGGAAGGAGGAAGGCTGAAGACATGCGTGACCGTGACATCGGCTGTGTGATCACCCTAAAAATACCCCTGATGGACCCGCGGGCGATCCTTGCCCAGCAGAAACACAACCGTCAAACAGGGAGAGGTTTAGGGGTTTTTGTCCCGCTCCTTGTTTTTCGTAAGTTCTATGGGCGGATGAGTTTTCTTCCTAGGCTTCGGACAACAGATGCCTTGGCGATGAGGGTTTTCTGGGGGAGAGTGCTATTCCCTCGGAACTCTCCCCCTCCTGCTCCACCCAACCCACGCACGGTCCTTGCTCGTGGTGGAGCTCCCTGCGGAGCGGGGAGCGCAGGTAATGCCCGAGGAAAGCTCAGAGCGAATAAAATAAGTTCCGTTAGTGTGTTGCCTTTCTTGAAGCGTCCCCTCAATGCCGGGCTTTCCTCTCCTCAACTACCTCGCCGCCAGATCTCCGTCCCACATCACTGCTCTTGCGACAGAACACGGTGCTTGCTCATCTTCCGTGGGCTCTCCGTGGGGACTGCGGCTACTCTTTGCTCCTTCTGCTGTGGTTGCAGAAAAAAAAAATAAAAAAAAAGGGGAAAGGGGAAAGAAAAAAATTAACGAAAATTATGTAGTTCGAAGACGGATGGTGTTGAGTGTCAGATTGTTTTTTTGCGTGCAAAATCCCTGGCACAAGTGAGCTCTTTTAACAGCCTTTTAACTGTTGGTGTAAAAATTGACTGGTAGTGGAAAGTAGTAAATAGTGGAAATAAAGGATAGATCCAAACTGTGAACCGTGAATAAACCTTATTGGAAAGAGCTGAAGTGAGCAGAGAGTAGGTAGGCAATTCTCTCGCTTCTCTTCTGAAAAATGAGTGCGACGCGTTGGCACTTTTTTTTTTCTTTCTTTCTTTTTTTTTTTTTTTTTTTTTTTTTTTTTTTACATGCTGAGAGAAAAGAGAAAAGAAAGAAAAATAGCGTTGTGGTGAAAATGGGATGATAAAAGCGAGATGTAAAAGGCATAAGTACCGACGTGGGCATGCCCGCCCCGGGCGCTGCCCCGCCGCAGCCCGGTGGCTCGGAGCCGGCGGCTGAGCTTCAGCAGAAGCCACGGCGTTCAAAAATGTTGCAACAGCACTTTGGAAGTCTCTAAAGAAAAGCTGAATTGTTGGAGCTTAGGTAACTTAAGGAAACTCGTTATGACCTACATTGCCGTTCTGAGTCAGCAGCTGCAGCCCCAGCCCCGGCGGGTCCCGCCGCCGCCGCGCACCCCGCACCCCTTGGGCGGAGCCGCCCCCCCGCCGCCGCCCGGGCTCGCTGCTTCCCGGGTTTACAAACAAACTCGCCTGGATCGAGACGGTTTCTGCTCTAAGGAATGCCTCCGCTGCTGCTCTAAGGAATGCCTCCGCTGCTGCTTTTTTTTTTTTTTTTTTTTTTTTCCTCCTCCCAGGTTTGCGGACAGAGCAGCTTGACTGCCTCAGCGCCGGTTTACAGGCTGGTTTTTGAGGGGGAAGGAGTTTAAGCAGAGGACGAGGTCTTTTCCCAAGTTTTTAAGAGCTGTACTTTATATCGCGAAGGGGTAGTCATTGTTTTCTCCACCGGGAAATAGACGCCTTATAGGGAAAAGTTACTACATGTTGCACACTGCTTCCTCTTACGATAGAGAAGGAAACTCTGAAGTTCCAATCAAAAACTTACCAAACAACTTTCCATATTTCTTCTGTAATGTAAAGTAAAAGTAGCAACGATTAAACTCCAAATGTCCACACTGTCAACATTCTCAGTTGCATCCAGTTTGCAGCGAGCTCGGGCAGTTGCGCCGAACGTTTGTTAAACGCACGGTCAGCGCCAGGGGAAGAGCCCTGAATGTTTTAACATCTTGATTAAAGTAATCAGTGCGCGAAGATACCGCATCACCCCGGCTAGGCGAGGGACGGGGAAAATCATCCAGTCAGCTTTCTTCGATATTCAAAATGACGAAAGACTCGGGATGAAATGACCTCAGAAAACTCCGCCTTTGGAAAGCCGCGCTTGCCGCCTCTCCCTTGCCCCCCGCCGTTCCCCCTCAATTCTCACTTTTTGTTTATCGACACGTCGTTGCCACCAGCAGGAGAACTGAAAATACAAAACTTAGCTCCAAACGCCTTGGTTTTCCGGTTGGGCTTTTACCGGTTTGCCCACCGCTTCGAGCGCTGCTTTTGGTATCATTGTCATTATTACTGATATATTTTTATAAACTTTTAGGGTTTTATTGCTCGAGTAAGGCAATTGACTGTATTTAATAATAGGACAGAAAAATCCAATTTCCTTTTCTTTATTTATTTTTAAAAAGAAAATCTCACAGCAGTGATAGAGACTTGATTCGATGCTCTTTAGTAAAAACTTGCAGCAACTGTGAGTTTCTTGCAACAGTGATAGTTCAGCGTCTCCTCTTAAGAAACCAGCGAAATTTGGAGGCAGAGGCTGAAAGCAGCTCCCCGTGCCTCTGAGCAGCGAGGGGGGCAGGAAAATGCCTCCTGCGGTTTTGGGTGTCAGGAAAGAGTTGTTTCTCGGTTTGGTGGTGGCACCTCCCCAAGCCCCGTTTCCCAGCGGATTCCCAGTTTGCAGCTGGACACGGGGATACGTCCCTGCTGCCTCACCGTGGGGACCAGCCGCTGTCGCTCAGCCACCTCCGGCTCTGGCTCGGCGGGTGCTGCCAACCACCCCCAAATAAAGTCAACGCCTTCGCCTGCCTGATCTTTATTTTTTCAAAGAACCCCCAAAATTCCCCCGTGGTGTCATGGAAAAGAGAGAGCTCTTCTTGCTCATAAGCCCCAAATGTCAAAGGCAAAGGAGAGAAGATATTTGCCCTTAAGGGAGGAAAAAATGAAAGAAAGCCCAAACCGAAAAAATCAAAAATCCAAGCCCAACAATAAAAACCCCAGATATAGCTGGGGAGGAGAGAGAAGTGAGGGAAGAGGCAGTGAGAAGGGAGGGCTTCAGCTGTGCCGGGGCTGACACGGTGCGTCTGCACTTCCAGCGAAGCAGGAGCGACTCCGGCATCCCGCTTTCCTCCTCGGCGGTTTCCTTGGGCATTCTGCGGGAGCACCGAGGTTTCTCCCGGGCTGCACTCCCCGGGCTCTGCGAGGCACCCCAGGACCCCGTGCCCTCCCCTTGCCCCTCGCTCAAACGCCTCTGGAGGGCTTGGGCAGCCCCGCAGCGGGACGAGGGCGGGCGGCGGAGCCCCCTCCTCTCCCCCAGATCGCTCTCCGTAAGGTTAAGCCCCCAGAATGGGCTGGAAAGGCGAGATTTTGGGAAACCTGTGGAGAGAATGGACGTGATCTGCGTGTTGAAGCGAAGCTGAAGGATCAGTAAGCCGCAGTTAGCACCGGTCACTTCTACCGAGATTTTTGGGGCGCTTTAAAAAATTTTTTTGTCTGATTTTTTTTTGGGTTTTTTTTGGGTGTGTCTAGACCCGCGTAATTTCTTAATCATTTTTCAGACACCGTTGTCGATATCCAGCGTGTGTGACCAGGTTGTTAAAGACTAGGCGATTTTTGTTCATACAAACTGGATCTCTGCAAGGTTTAATTTAACCCCGTGCGGCTCATCACGTTTCTTTTACCGAAAAAAGTACCTTTCTGGAGAGCCCGCCGTCAGCTCGGTACTGCTTTCCATTGCGGGACCGAGAAGGTACGATGCAATGTATGCAAAGTGA